AAAAAAAAAAAAAAAAGAAAAAATAATAGAAAAATTAAAAAAATTGTATTTTGTAAAATTAATAACGTACTAAGTTAAAAAGGTTAAATAGTAAAACAATTAAAATATTAGAGATATCCTGTATATAATCTACTTGTATCAACACTTGACATTACCTTAGATGATGGCGTTCTTTTAAAGGTTACTGCACGTGTTCCAGTACAAGGGACTGGTGGCATTAATTGCATCTTACGTTGATTTTTATTTTTAAATGAAGCAGGTGTAGCTGAATTACTTTCAGACTCAGTAACTGACTCTGTGACTGAATCATCTCTACTTAAAGTATTACCTTTAGTATGACTCATGTAATCCATAATTTTAACTGCATCACCTCGTGTTTCTGGATGTTTAATTCTTGGAGTCATCATAGCATCTAAATCATAAGAAGGAACTTCTGCTAACACACACTCACCAACACCATCTTCAATTTTAGTTTCTAATTTCTTTACTCTTGCAATTTCATTTCTTAATACTCTAACAATATGTCCTATTTTTCTTCCTTCTTCAGTTAATGCTGAAATAACTTCATCATCAGCATCACTTTGGTCTGTATATTCATTAAAATTACGTTTAAAATCTTTTTGTATTTCAATTGCTTTATTGAAGAAAGCCTCATCACATTGTAATTGATGTCTTATTTGTAATGATCCATTTCTTAATAAGTTACTTTTCTTTAATGGTTCTTTACACAATTCATGGAAATCACTCATTTCTTGAAGTAATTTTCTAAATTCTGGAGAAAGGACTGAAAATATTTCTTTGTCAATATCATTTCTCACAACAGGTGGTTTTGGTAATAATGAAGCAGCTGATGGAACAAATCCTCCTTCTCCATCTTCAGGTAATGAAGGTGTATGAGTAACCGATGAATTTGACGAATCATCATCATATTCAGGATAGACTAATGGTGGAAATACAAGTCCTTTCTTTGTATATTTTTTATATAATTCTTGATAATGTTCTGTTTGAGGTAAAGCCATTACCAACTGAACTAAATTCATTGCTTTTAATTGTGTTAATGTTGGTTTAGATTTAAACAATCCAACTAATTTCTACTCGTATGTTATTTAAAACTCATATAAACCAAATTTTTGGTTAAATAAAACAAACATCAAATTGAGCCATTTTTTCTAATGCCTTAACAAATTCTTTGTCTTTAATAAATACATCAAAACCTTTTACTTTTACTACAAGAAATTCCATTAAGCATAAACAATAATACACTTCTAATGAAGCAATAAATCTGAACGGATGTGATTTGAGTTTATTTAATAATTGTAATCGAAGAACTGGACATGTTTGTTCTTGTTTTCTTAAAACATGTGCTATTTTTATATATAACTTAATATTAGGAGTAGGGTTATAATCACCAACTGCATTATCAAGTAATGTACTTAGTGGTATACTACGTTTCTTCATTCAACAAATCCAAGTTGTGATTTTCTAGTGAAATGATTTTTTAGAAGGGTTTCTTTCCATCAGATTTTTCCTTTTCAGAAATTGTACTTTTTCTATCTCCATCTTTCTTTTTATCTTATTTTTAATAATACTTTTATCATTTCTCAGTAGTTTTTTATTTTTAGTTGAAAATAAGAAGATTTTTAAGTATGAAAAAAATATAAATAAAAAATAGAAATGTGCATTTTATTGAAATAATAAAATAAACTATTTAATCTATAAACATTTATAAGAATAGTTTTATTGACTTTCTGGACACTTTCGTGATTGTAAAATGATTTTGGTGTATGAGGAGTAATTATATAATAGTATTTATATTGTTACCATTCCAGTCCTTATCTTTTAATAATGAATTTAACATTAACTTCTACGTATTTAGTTAATTTAACTTTTTTTAGTATTTAGGTAATTTCTATTCTAGTTCTTATCGTTGTAATGTGATTTGATAATATAAAGCTTTCTTTAAAACTTTATTTATTTTTATTGACCTAATTAGTTTAAGGAAGTTCCTTTTTTTAATTGTTTTCTTTGTCAGTTATTGTACAATAATAATAAGAAATAAATATTCTTTTATTTGTTTTTAAGAGAAGTAACTGTCACTATTTATCTTAATACAATATTATTCTTTTATACTTTTCTAATAATACATTTACATTACTTATTTAATTATTTTATGATGTTAGTTACTACTAAAATATATGCATCTTTAAAGTAAAACATTTTGATATAACTTAAGTTCTGGTCGAATTTATTATTAATGTATGATTTCCATTACTTGGGGAAGTTAGAGTAGGTTCAAGTCTTAGTCCTTTTAAAGGAAAGACATATCTATCGTTCATCTTTTTATATTAGCAGGTAATAATAATTTTTGGTTACAAATTTTTGAAGTAGTTATTGTATGTTAAGATTTATTGAGTGAAGAAAAGTTTCTGAGTCTACGACCTATTGGTTATACTAAGGATTGGAAGAATAACCAACTAGGATATAAAATTATCTTTTACATTAATTCAACCTAACAAAATATTAAATACAGTTTATCTTCATGAAAAAAAAGAATTATTATGAAATCAAGAATAAAAATAAGCTATATAATGATTAGTACATAAATATAATAAATAATGGTATAGTAATTATCAAAATAAATTGTAATAATTAAATAAAAACAAGAAGGAATATTATAATAAATAGTGATAAAAATTAATATAATTAAGTTTTATATAAGATATATTTTTTAATAAAAGAATTTATTGAAAATATGTTAAAAAAAAAGAATTGATTGGTATAATAAAAATATTATAAATATTTTAATATTCTTTTAGATTATAAAAATTCAATAAATGAGAGTTTTATGTATTGTTTTATATAAAATTTTTTTTAACCATTAAATTCTTACATTCTATATCTAATATTAAATTAATGGTTGACAGTAATACTGTTACTATCAAATAGTCTCTTTTAATTTGAATTATCTTATAAGATATTTTTGAATATACAAAAATAATTTGACACTTCTTTGTTTGTAATTATTTCATCCATTTATTGAAATTAAAATATTTATTTAAATTGTGTTATTCTTCTTTTTTTTTAAAAAAGTAATTATTTATATTAATTTAATTAGATACTTTATTTGTTTTAATCAAAAAAAAATATTCATCTTCTTCTTTATAAATCATAAATGTTCTTTTACTTATTAAAAAATATTATAAATTCCTAAGGAAAAATAAATAACAGAATTTTTGCAAATATAATATACAAAAAAAAGGTATTGTCATTTTAATTATCATTGGTTCTTCCATTCATTGAAATAATGATTTTATGAAATATTTCTGAAGATAAATTAATATTAAGAAAGAAAAGAAAAAAATAACAAAATATTTTTTCAGAGTTTCATGACAAAATTTTTTTAATTTTGTTTAAAAAAACAAAATAACAATTTTTATATAAAATTAAGAAAAATTAAAAATGTTAAATGGAAAATCTTCTGTATCGACCACCTCAAAGTAACTATTCAGAAATCACTGACCAAGATGATAAAACTGTAAGTGACCAAAATGCACTACAAAGAAATGTTAAAAAAACATTGTTTTATATTATTATAGCAACTGTTGTTTTTATTCCTATTTGTGTTTCATTTAATATTGCAACTAGACCACATTCATATACATGTTCTGCTTCAAATAACAAATTATTTACAAAATATATTGGACCTATGTCAGTTGATAACACAAGTTTAATCTTACCGATGTATGGAATTATAACTTTAAAAGGAACCTTCGTAAATAAAAAAAGAATTCCCTTAAGTGTTAATGTTTTTTCTATAGGAGATGATGGCAAAAGAGTGGATAAAGGAATTAGGTATGACACCTCTTCGATTCAAGTTCCAGAAAATGATTGTCAATCTTCAGGGATTTATTTCACTCAATTTGAAATTTGTAAAACACTTCGATTTACTCTTGCAGCAAATAAAACAAATGTAAAGAAAAGAAATGCTGAAGAAATTATTATTGATAAAGTGATGATTGAGATTGAGTCTCCCCCTTCAATTGATCAAGACCAATGTACTTTAGGAATTGAATATATACTAATTGATAATACAAAAAATTCTACAGAGTATCATCATTATCCTGACCCTACAAAATCTTCTTGTATTGGAATAGAAAATACTTATTTTTATGCAATTACATCAAATAAGTCTCAAAGTCAATATGTAATGTTCAGTAAAAATATTAAAGATTCACCTAATCTATATCCAACAACAATTGGGTGTGATATACCTCATGAAACGTTTACATATAATCTTACATCACGATGTCCTGGTTGTTTTATAACTTTTAGTTCATATTTTATTGATCCTTTTTGGGAAACACCAGTATTTGCTAATAATCATACAACAAAAATGTATTTCACAGAATTGGTTGATTTGATTGGCTTCAATTCATACTCATTCATTCATCCAAATTCTGAATATTCCCATATCATATATCCTTATATTTTTTTGTCTCCACCGAAATAAATGATTTTATTAATTCTGATTCTTATGTTATTTATTACATATAACAATTATATAGGTTTTTGACATTTTAATTCTCTTAAAAAACAACAAAAATATAAATAGAATGAACACAAATTTATAAATCAAAAAAGAGATAAAAATATTAGATCTTACAG